AACCTGTGGGTCGTGACCCCTTTGAGGGTCGAACGACGCTTTCACAGGGGTGTAGGGTGCGGCTATAGGGTTAACCCTCAGACTAACCTGTTGGCAAAGCCACAAACAAGTCCCAGCTTAGAGGGCACAGTCCTCTTCTCATAATTAGGCTTGACCTTACCACGCTCCCTAGATCTTACCTGGGTAGCTAATGGGCTGTGGGAGGTGCAGCAAGTGCTGCCAAAACAAGTGAAACTCACAAGAACATTGTAACTATGGTGACCACTACCTTGTTTACCTCTGGCTGTAAAGTAAAGGCTCAGCTTGCCTCTGGATATCTCTCTCTGTGGCCTCAGCCAAGCACAGGAAGATCCACCTAGACCCAGCTTACTCTCTTTGTCTGTCATCTCTTCATTCCTCACCGCCCTCACTCAGGCTCTCGAACCCTTGGCTGAGCTGGCTCGGCTCATGTGGCGCCCAATGCAGGGCCTGAGTTCGGGGGAACTGCAGTTGTCAGGTGAAAGGATGCTCCAGTGAAGCGAAGCACGTGCAGAAAACAAGAAGGAAGCTAAGGAGCGAAGTTTAGTGATATAACTAGGTGTAAAACATGGGAAATTCAGGATCTTAGCGAAAGAATTTATACAAATCCATGCTTAAGGCTATGCTCCAAACACGGGCTGTTCTGTGAGGTATCAACAGCTCTTCTATTTGTAAGTAAAACCTGCACATGGTTGTCTGAGGAAGGAAAGGTAAATGTAGAGGCATGGGAAGAGGTAGGCCCAAGAAGTCTTATCCTTAACCCCACTGCAGCCTTTACCAGCCGGCTCAGAAAACCTTTCTCATGCCACCCCTGGAATTGGAGGATTAGCAAGTTCTCCCTGGGGTGATAGATCAGGACTCAGGTAATAGCAGAAAGCACCTATCCTACTCTTTTTAAAAAAAATATGTTTTATTGATTTTTTTACAGAGAGGAAGGGAGAGAAATAGAGAGTTAGAAACATTGATGAGAGAGAAACATCGATCAGCTGCCTCCTGCACACTCACTGGGGATCAACCAAGGTACATGCCCTTGACTGGAATCGAACCCGGGACTCTTGAGTCCGCAGGCCGATGCTCTATCCACTGAGCAAAACCGGTTAGGGCAATCCTACTCTTAAAATGGATATAAGAAAGCATTTGGGGTTTTTCTTTTTAATGCCTGTTTTGGAATGAGTAAATGGATTTTACTTAATTTTAAAACAACAAAGTTAAGTCTTGACACAAAAAGAAAAACTAACAGTTTGACTCAAAGTTAAAGTTTTATTTTGAAGTGCTAAAGCTCAAAAGTAGAACCAATTCACCATAAAAATGTAAAGCTGCATAATTTGCAACTGTTTAAGTTAAAGTAGGAAAAC